CTGAAAGCCAAGACTTTGTTTGTTTGTTTAAAATCAAACAAAACACCCGAACCCCGAAAAAATAGTTTTTTTTACGTAAATCCACGTTTATTTTGAGAGATTCTGCTCTGACAACTCAGCTAAACTGTTACCTGTTAAGATTGTGCACGGCACAACAGAAAGTTACAGTAATTTTCAATGGACTTTTTTTCTGTGAAGAACCCAGAGAGGGTTATTTAGTTATTATTTATTTCATAAATAGTGTTATTTATTTCATTAATAGTGTTATTTATTTCATAAATAGTGTTATTTATTTCATTAATAGTGTTATTTATTTCATTAATAGTGTTATTTATTTCATTAATAGTGTTATTATTTATTTCATAAATAGTGTTATTTATTTCATTAATAGTGTTATTATTTATTTCCTGACTTTTTTTCTGTGAAGATCCCGGAAAGGGTTATTAATATTTGGTTATGTGTGGCTTTCTAGAAAACAATAAATGTTTACGTTTAGACACCCATGCGATCGTCACACTTTTTCTGTTACAAACTGACCCGGCCCCCATCAGAGAAGGGAAAAGTTATGTGGCCCTCACAGGAAAAAGTTTGGGGACCCCTGCTTTAAAGTAACAACACTTTGAATAATTATCTCTTCTAACAATTTTCTCTCAATAAGCACACAACGACTGTCTTTCCAACAAACAGATTGTCATCACAATGAAACACGTCCAGAAGAATGACATGCAAAGCTCCCTGCCTTCGACTCTCCCTGAACTGCTTCCTTAGCACCCGGTGGAGGGCGCAGTAGGCTACTCTTCAAATGTTTCACGAAATACTTACCATCATGTTTGGTTACTGTTTAACATTTTGGTGTACTTCATGTAATAAAATAATAACTTCACGGTAAGGCTACTAAAAATGACAAGGCTAAGTAATGTAATGCTAACTAACGTGCTCGCTACTCGTCGCTACTAGCTAGGTAGCTAACTTGACTATGTTCCATGCACAACATGTATATTACCTGATATGTCTGATCCAGCGACTCCTGGTCCTTTCATCAGACGGGAAGCGATAGAACGAGCAAGTGGTATGATCACTTTTATGATTACAACCTGGTACAAAGCACACAGGCATCTTGTAAAAGTGAATTTATTTTTTAGCGATCTATAATTTATTGGAGGGAATAAATCAGTTATGAGATCTTCTTCTTCTTCGCTTTAATTACGAGTCTTATTATAAATCACCGAGCATGCCTGTGACATCACTTACGCGACCCCGAATGGGATTTGGGATTTGTAGTCTTTGTAGTAGCGTATTTTTCATAGTCTTATATTTCAGCAGTTTTACGACAAAATGTGACTTTTTTGACATGGAAATGATTGTTTAAGATTGACAAACATCATATGTGTAGTTCGTGGCACAATTCAAACGGGATCAAAAGATACGTGTTCTCTCTCCATTGAATTCAATGTACATTTTTCGCTTCCGGGGTCCCATGGTCCGGAAGTAGATGGGCGTGACTTCGCCTCTCCATATAGATAACAACACATATATGTCCGTGTGGAAACAATAGCCCCAACTGTAGTTCCATGTATGAATTATGTCCCAGTGTATTAATAGGTGGTCACCACACAAGCCCCCCCAGAATTCAAACATGGCAAAAAAAATCCTCGCGTCCGTGGAGGAAGCACCACAGGGGCCGAGGAGGGTGGGGCCACAGGTGAGGACCGGGCCATGGAACGGGCCACGAAAGGGGGCCGCAGGAGAGGGCAGGGGCCCTAACGAGGGCTAGGGCACCCACACCGGGGGCCGCAGTAGGTGTCGCGGAGAACCCAGCAGGAAAGAGCGCAACCCGGCCGCAGGCAGACGCCCAACGGCGGTGGGCACGAAGCCCTCGGCAGGGGTCGAGGTATCCCCGGAAGAGAGGAGCAGTCCCCCCGGGAGGAAGGAGCGCAACCCGGCCGCAGGCAGACGTGCAACGGCGGCGGGCACGAAGTCCTCGGCAGGCGTCGAGGCATCCCCGGGAAGCAGGAGAGCAACCCGGCCGCAGGCAGACGTGCCGCGGCGGTGGGCATGAAGTCCTCAGTAGATGTCGAGGCATCCCCGGGAAGCAGGAGAGGCCAGACAGGGTCCCGGAGCGCGCCACCCATGGGCCGATGGAGCATGGGCGACGTCCGGAACTGTCGAGGCGAGAGGGGGTCCAGGAGTGCGCCACCCAGGCGCCGATGAACGTGAGTGGCGTCTGGATATCCCCGGAAGGCAGGAGAGGCCAGACAGGCTCCGGAGCGCGCCACCCACGGGCCGATGGCAGCATGGGCGACGTCCAAAACCGTCGAGGCGAGACGGGGTCCAGGAGTGCACCATCCAGGCGTCGATGAAAACGTGAGTGGCGTCTGGAACCGCCGTGGAGGTGGTGAAAAATGTGAGAGTGTCCACATGAGGCCAACCGGCTGGTCGAACCTCCTCTCCGGCACCAGAAAAAAGCTCAAAAAGGATCGATAGCCGTTAGCAGCTAGCTGGCAGCCATCGGTAGCTGCTAGCCGTAGCCGTTAGCTAACGTGGTTAGCTGCTAGTCGTCGATAGCTAGCGCAGCCTGGTCTTGCAGCCGCACGCCCCGAAGAAACAACCCCACGTGGAAGGAGTCTGGTTCTCTCCCCTACCCAGCAGGTCGTGCATCGTCTCCGTGTAGATGGAAGGCCCGCTGTCCTCCAGTGTCGAGACGATGCGGGAATGGCGAGTGACGTCCTCAGCCATTCCGCGGGGGGCGCACCGAGCCTCAGTCCGTGTGCCCATGGCAGCCACGGACGTCTCCAACAATCTCCGGCATAACGAGAAAAACAGCGCTTTTCGCCATGTTCGGGTCCGTCCCGGAAACTTCACGAGACGTTGTCAGGGTCACCAATGTAGTGCCGAGAGATAGGGAGTCGGAGGCGGTGCAATGGAGGTACAAAGCTTGCTTTAATGAGCAGCAGAAATGTAGATGTTGTTGGGTCGCAGCCCGGGACGACAAGAGAAAGAGCCAGGAGGGCACACAACATATATAGATAACAACACATATATGTCCGTGTGGAAACAATAGCCCCAACTGTAGTTCCATGTATGAATTATGTCCCAGTGTATTAATAGGTGGTCACCACACAATATATATATATATATATATAGCAAAATAAACACAATTACACTGCGCTAAACAGCCACATCGACAAACAAACGAGAACCTAAATAGTATGTAATTATATCTAAAACCACAATACGTTAAGTACCTGTACTCGGTGCGCCATGTTGTTTGTTGTCTGTAAACCTCACGTGTTGGGCGTGTTCTCTTCTGACCATATTTGGAAGTACAACTTTTCGCGGCCGCAGCTAGACCCTTCTCAGCCACCGTAGTGTCGTATCAGGTGGGCGTGTCGTGTACCATCGTGTACTGGCCGCGGCCGCAGCTAGACCCTTCTCGCTTTATGCGCTCCGCAGCACAGCAGTAGCCCCGCTGCGAGAGTCCAACAGAGACGCAGGAGCTGCGGGACAGTAGCCTAGAAGTGATCCTTCGTTGGCGTGAAGAGTCTGCTAAGCGCTAACTTAGCAGTACCTGCTAAGCGTGCTCCACTAGCACCCCCCCCCCCCCCTTAAAGCATCAAAAGCAGTCAGTATGCATAATCACCGTCCATCGGGGCTTACTACCACAGTGCTCCGATAACCACTGGAACTTTACTATACAGTATATCACTGATGTATTACCTTTTATAATGTTTCATTTATAAAATACAAAACAAATGTGTTGCCAAAAGGCATTAAAAATATATAGGGGCCATAAATAGCACAGTAAAAAAAATCTAAATTGTATGCAAGTCTACCACTTAAGTACATTTACTTTACACCACTCTACTCTATAATTTGCGCAGTAAAATGTTTCCAAATTCCACCACTAGATATGATATGTACCCAACAGATATATTGGGTGTGAATATCTTTCCTAAGACTTATGAGAAGGAAGCAATTACAAAAACTAAAATACCTTCCCCTGTGGTTCCCCAATGTCTTTCCAAAAAATGATCACTTCATCATAGAAAGACGTTTGTGTGAAATTGGTAAAACTTGCATATGAATTCTTGAGTTTTGGATTTAAACACGTTTTGTGAGGACACATTGACCCCGAATGAGGAGATCCCCCAGGGCGTTCAGGAAGTCAATCAGTCAAGTGTAATCATAAACAACAACAAGACAAACCATAAAACCAAGAGCAGGGTAACTCAATTCAATTCAATTCAAAACCTTTATTTATCCAGGTAAAATCCCATTGAGATCAATGATCTCTTTTTCAAGGGAGACCTGCAGCAGTAGGTTCCACAAGAAGACATAAAAACATAAACAACAGAACAACAAAAGGACATCATACAGCAAAATGTACAGGGATTACAATTTACATATTTAACCACATGTACAGGTAGCCTACCAACAGCATCTGATTTTGTAGCATCCAACCGAGCTTTAAAAACATGTAGTGGTACTAGCTTGGTAATTTTCCATTCTTTTTGCAGACTGTTCCATGTTAGTGGAGCTGCACATCTAAAAGCTTTCTTCCCTAAGACCGACTGATGCTCAAAGGTGACAGTGGTAGAATGTTGGACTGTTATCCCCTCATCTTCCCTTGACAGGACTTCTGTACTGGTATTGTATTTTATACATCTGAATTTGTATCTGTTATAGCCTACATACTTGTTAGTGTGATAGGCACTGGGAAATGTTTTAATGTTCGTTGATTGTTACTGCTGATTGAAATTAGCTTTAACTATAATCTGGCATTCATAATACTCTTCTATTTTTAAGATTAATGTATTTTTTATCATAGACTGTATATATAAAGATTGTTATGCATGGTCCTTCACTGTTCAATAAAGATTTTTAGATTTGTCTGTAGAATTATTTCCCATCATATTGGCGGAAATGTCCTGCCATACATGGGATTGCTCCAGCGAACAGGGCGCTGTTCCTTTAACTGAGCGCAGAGCTCAGCCCGCAGTGACGACTCTCCTGAACCGCTCTAGAAACATCTCTGCACCCCTCGGGTTTTACCATACAGTCTATGGGTTTTACACATAGACTGGTTTTACACTGGGTTTTTAGCCTTTAAACCTTGACGACAATGTCTGTCTTTAAAGACACGTGTTTATAGCGTCTAAACACACTCGATGAAGTAGAAGCAATATAAGCATGTTTTCTTCTTTCTGACAAAGTAAGGCTCCGTTTCCTTCACAGGTTTAGCTAGTTTAGCTTTTTGCTAGGTAACTTCTGCTGTCAACATATAACGGTTATTTAAATATGAGAGCCGTTAGTTTGCTCTTTTCTGACGGTTAGTCATTGTTTTAATGTTATTTACGGTTGTTGTTAAAAAGACGGCTATCCCTCTAAAACTTAGTCCAAGGTCAAACTGTGTATCAAAAATTGGAAAGAAAACACGTTTGTATTTTATTTTACTTATTACACCATGTTAATACTAAAATGTAGTGCGTAGATATTTGCTTAATATAGGATGCGAAATTGGCAGACAGTTCTACATACATGTTTCTGAAATATAGAAATCTTTACTCTGTTTTATTATTCTGAAGATTTTTCGATTTTGGACTGGCAAAAATATATCACCTTGGAATGCTAATTTAAAAAATAATTATCTGCAATTAATTAAATGCTGAAATTAATAACTGGTTGTGGCCCTTGTTAGTTTACGCCGCTGTTTTGATTCATTTTAGTCGATAGGTCAAGTTATGTTCGACTGTTTTCCATAAACCGTATAAGCAGATCAATAGACTGTTTGCTGGAGCACTGCTTTACTAACAGCTTTAGTGATTAATACATCGACTTTTTCCTGTAGGACAAACATCAACCCTTATGAACCCAAATGTGACAAACACAACTCATCCAGTGTGAAACAATGTTAGCCTATCAATAATACATCATAATAATGTAATAATACATCTTAAACTAGGTTATTTATGATATAAGTATAGGGATGCAAATTATAGTTATGTTAATAGCCAGTTAAGCTGCACTTTTCCCCCCAAGTTATCTACTGATCATTAAGTATATCAAATGTCAGAAAATACTGAAAATGCCCAGTATATATTTCTTCCAGAGCCCAGGTGATATCTTCAAAGCGGTATTTTGTCTGACCAGCAGTCAATATACAAAAATACTCCTCTGACAAGTTATACAGTATTTACGTCTACTATCCTTTAAGTGATTGTAGTGTGTTATCTACAGTAGATGACGGTCGGCACCCCCCAGTTTGGAGAAACAGACAGTAGTACCAGCACAGGAGCAAAACAGTTTACTTCTGTGGACGTTACATTATATATATTAGTTATTATGTTAGAAGGCCGTTTCATAACGGGGAACTGAAGCTGTTATCAATGCTGTCCAAAGACACCTTTGACAAAAAAAGCAATTTAGCTTTGAAGATCAGAGCAGATTTTGGTCTACTCCTTCTTCAATCAGTTAGATAGTAGTTGTGTTATTGTGAGACTTTGTTAATTCTGAACTTTAAAATGCCAAAGTTCAGCTGGTACTCCAGTCTGCTTCTCCAAAACGGGGGTGACCAACATCTTCTCTTTACTCCACTTTCTGTGGAGTACCTTGACACCCCCACTTTGACAAATCAGATTTGCCCTTTTAAAAATCTTTATATAATCCTCTCAGTTGGTTCTCTTTGAGTTGTCAAAACATCTTATAACAGTTGATTCTGTGTAGCTTCCCTGAAGCATGGAGAGCTCAGAGTCTGGCCCATCATCGGGGCCCCTTGCAGCGCCGGACAGAGGCACGGAGCAACCCTCAGCATCCCATAATCAGCCCTCCAAGCACCGGGAGCACCCGCCCAAGTCACCAAGGAGACGGCATAAGGGGACGAGGTCGCAGCAATGGGGGGTCGGTCATGAACAGCTGCTGTGGGAGAGTGAGCGGCTGAGGTTGCCGGGCCAACAGGAGCACCTGGAGCCCTCTGGCTCGGCGAGCGACACAGCGGAAAGCTCTCCTAAGAGGTTTGCACTGCAGGTTGCCAGCTGGTCGGCCGTGCCTCTGCCACAGCTCTGTTGCCCGGGACGTGAGCTGTTGACCTGTCCTCATTTTTTTCCTCCATCCTCACAGGAGAGCCCACTTTCTACATGGACCGTATCCAGCCACTCACTTCGGACCCAAAGCCTGTATTCTTCCCAACCCAACTTCAGTCATGTAAGCATGAGGGTCGAACTTTGTATAGTGTTCACACAGACAAGCTTGTGTAACTGTGAGAGATAAGATAATTGAGATTGCTGTGATTGGGTGGCTAACCGAACATACGACAGATGCTAGTTTTCACCTAGTCTAACGACTGTTTACCTGGACTTGATCTGAAATCAGACATATGAAATGATCTGCACAAAGCCTGTGATCAGCCATTCAAAGGAGGAGAGACACAAATGGTAAAGAGCGGAAGAAATTCATAGTCTGATGTTTGGAGTTTGGACCTCACTCCTCCTAAACTGTTAATGAATGACTGCCGCTGTAGATGTATCTTTTACTTTACTCAGAACATGATGTAAGACATGGTGGCATTTGACTTTATTTGAAAATCATCAGGATCCAGCAAACTAGCTTAAAGTAGCAAGACAATGTAACGGTCAACTTTTTGGTCTGTTTCTGTGTCTAACGTATTGACACTGACACCGAGTGTGCGTTTACTCATGTGTGTTTTCTGGTCTCAGGCACATCCAGGACCCGGCCAGCCAGCGGCTCACCTGGAACAAACCTCCTGTCAACGTTCTTGTCATCAGGAAAATCAGAGATGAGAGCCTCGTCGAGCCTTTCAAAGAGCTCTGCAGGTTTCTAGTGGAGGTACTGGATTACAAAATATCTCCTAGTATTTTTTACAAGATTAATGTTTTATGATGTTAATGTGTTATTGCAGTGACGGACTTTGGGATTTTAAACTAAAATGAAAACTGATTTTTTGTTTCACTTTGGGGCAATATAAAACCTTAGCAACACATCATTTTTCAATTTCAAATAACACTAAACTCAAACTGTAATGACTTCTTCATCAAAAAAAGAGATAAAAACAGCACGACTTTGATCTACCAAAGCTGCAAGGAAGATTGTGGTGATGACAAAAAAGTTAATTAACCTTTCTGAGACATCTGCAGCAACATGACAAAAATGAAAATAGATTAAACAAAGTAAACTGATGCTCTGAAGAAATGATAGACACACAAAGTAGTGTTTCAGGGTTCCTACAGATCTTGACAAGTATTTAAAAGCCCAACGGTTTATAAAGGCCAGCAAGATCATTCATAACAATAGCAATTCATAACATGGGCAGCTGACCATGTTATACTGACAATCACTAAGACGAAGGTACCATAATGCTTTTATCTGCTATTGTGAGTTATCATATCTTGTAGCTAATCTCGCACACTGGCTTTTTTCCGTAGAAATCTTGGAACAATTCCTCTACGTTTCATGTCATGTCTATGGCATATTAAAATGACTTGAACCTAAACCACATAACAACCAGATTTACAAAATAAAAGCTTAGCCGACTAGCATGCTATAGCTGACAACAAAGACAGCATGAGCTGACAAAACAGTCTGGTTCAAACGATCAAGTGTTATTGTGTGTGTATGCAACATTAACAGCTGTTTGTGTAACGGGGCATATCGAAAGGACGTTGCAAACCCCAGTATTGCCAGAAAACTGTTTCCATGTGCACTGAAAAATGATCTAACTCTTAGAAAAACAACCCAGGAAATGATCCAGACATGTAGGTAAAGGTTACAGTCTGGTCTGATGACTGGTCAAAACAAGCGGCTCTCTGTGTAACAACACTGTCAGAGCGAGCTCATGTATTTACATTCCAGACAGGCGGCGTCACATCAAAGCACACATGTTGTCCTGTGCTTAACTTCATCACAGAAACAGTGCTTTTTGGAGATGTCTGTGTATGTTTTGGCTGCCGTCACTAAAGCGTGTGTTTCAGGAGAAACAGATGATGGTGTACGTGGAGCGCAGAGTAGCAGACGACGCTACGCTGTCGAAGGACGAGGCGTTCGGATCCATCCGCAACCAGCTCTGCACCTTCAGAGAGGGTGAGGCCCCACAGTAAATACACAACCAGTATAATAAAGTAGGTCATTTATATAAATATTCTGGTTTTTATTTACTATAAATATCTAGTCGTCATGTGATTTAAAAATAAAATCTAAATTATATAAACATTTAAAATAAAAACAGACGTTAAATTAAAGCACTTTTATAATAATGTACTTTTTTGTTATTTTATTGCATTTTTTTACGTTATTAGTTTTGTCACTTTTTATTGATTCATGTCACCTTCATAAATGTCATTAATCAAAGAAATGAAAGAAGTAAAAAAAACATTGAATGAATACATTGATAGTGATAATAATAGTAAATACAAATATACACATTAATAAGTAAAGGTTATTTCTGCTTGTGCAGCCAAAATGTAGTTTAGATTGTATAAATACTATACATGAGAGTAACACATGCGTCACTTCCGGGCAAAAAGTACGGCTCCGCCCACTTTTGGGGGAAATCAAAGCTGTCATTTGAATGGCGGTCAATGTAACTTCTGAAGTTTTTGCCAATCCGATCAGAAATTTAAGAAAACCGTGGAGTTTTGGATCTTCAAAGAGCCAAGATCGGGCTCGATATATGGTTAAATATAGCAGTAGGCGATCGATGTCCATAGATGAGAGTAACATCTACGTCACTTTACGGCCCGCCCACTTTTGGGGGAAACCAACGCTGTCATTTGAATGGCGATCAAGCCTGAAGCCACAGAGATCTTCTGTTACCGTCCTTTTTTCTTAGAGGAAGTCCAGAAACACGTAACTCTGGATTTGTTTTAATCTTTGAGGAGCAATAAACGACACAGCAGCTTTTTGGCATGATACAACTATTATTTTCCGCCTCGCTCATGAGAGTAACAGCCGGCGAAAATTACAGCCTCGCCTACTGATTTTAATTTAACCATATATCGAGCCCGATTGTCGATTTCCAATGATTTCATGTAATTGTTTGCCTGACTGGCCATTGTAATCGGGCTCTTTGAAGATCCAAAAATCAATGGTTTTCATACATTTCTGATCGGATTGGCAAAAACTTCAGATTTGTATTGACCGCCATTCAAATGACAGCGTTGTTTTCCCCCAAAAGTGGGCGGGGCCGTAATTTTCGCCCGGAAGTGACGTAGGTGTTACTCTCATCTATGGGAAAATAATTAACTACGGTCTTTAATTGTCTTATGTTGCTCCTCTTACACTCTTAGATTAAATGAAATGTATTATGCACAACTGGCAACACACATATGCTATCTGACTTCTGAAACAAAAACCTTTACAGTACATTCATGAATTAAATCAGATTTTGAGCATACTATAATGTCGGTAAATTGAAAATGATTTGTTGATTATATCGGTGTTTTTTGTTTCAGGTTACGATGATATCTCTGACTGCATCGACCTGATCATCTGCCTGGGTGGAGACGGGACTCTGCTCTACGCCTCCTCTCTCTTCCAGGTAATCACTCTTTGATTGACGAAGTCAGATGTCTAAACATTTTATACTTCAAACATAAATAAATGAAGAAATATACATACATACAGACTACATACATTCATGATGTCTATGTCCTTGACTTGTGCTTTCACTCTCCATATGAAACATATTTTAGAAAAATATTTCTTCTATAAAGACAGCTCTTTAAAAGTAAAAAAATGTAAGCCACAGAAATTGCACGAGTGATCTGATGTTGATGTCTGGACTGATATTCTTCCTGCAGGGCAGCGTGCCTCCGGTCATGGCGTTCCACCTCGGCTCTCTGGGTTTCCTGACGCCCTTCAAATTCGAGTCGTACAAGACGGAAGTGGCCAAAGTGTTTGAAGGTAGAGAAGAGCATTCCATGAAAGATGAATCGAGCCTATGTGGATGTAAACGCTCATTTTCCTGAAAGCTCAAACCTAGAAGTAAATCATGCTCATGACACAGATCAGAGGAGATTAGATTTAACTTCATTGTCATTGCAGAAAATGTACTGAGACAACATAAGTCAGTTTAGCACCTAACCAGAGCATATTTACCTATGTAGTATGTGTTCAATAGTGAGATAATGTGATTTATATGCAGCAAGGTATAAAATATAGTATGGGTTGAGATATATCATTGAGCTTACGTTACGTTTTAAGACAATGCAATGCAGCCAATTAAAAAAGTGTCCCCAGTGTAAATGACGCCTATGTATACACAGTATGGACAGTGCTATACCTAATTATATATATCACTACAGACTGTGAATAGTGTGTATTTGAATGCCACGTGAGTGCTTATGGTGTCAGTATGTCTGTGTTTGGACTTCAGGCAATGCAGCCATCACTCTGCGCAGCCGTCTGAAGGTGAAGGTGGTGAAGGACATGCTCCAGAGGACGGGCCAGCAGCCGAGCAGCAGAGAGACGCAGCAGCAGGAACACAACGGACTGTTCCCTCACACACACACCAACAGCGAGGCCGGAAAGGTCACCCTGCAGCTCCAGGTGAGGACCCTGAGGAGCAGGTAGGAGAGAGAGGAGGCCAGGAGCTTATTGAGCGGAAAGATAAATAACTGCAGGGACCTTTACAGGGGAACCATTTCAGGTCCTCTCAACCCGACGACTTGATTTAGTTTATTTTCCAGGTGCTAGAAGAGTCCCTGGCCCACAAACTATTAGTATGGAGTTTGCAGTGCTTATTAGTCAAACAATAAATACTGTACACTTCTACAACTTGGTATACAGCTTAATTCACACATTAGGAGGCACTAGGAGAGACTAAAGTCAATATTAGAATGACAGTCTGGCTTTTCTGCTAAAGTGAATTTGACCTTAAAAACAAACTTCAGCTTTTCAATTAATCTAAAGAGAAAGTAAAATGGAGAGAGGGTAAACAAGCTGAGAGGAGCATGGATCAGAGCAATTGGCTTAATGCTCATGGCTCTCAGATGCAGGGAAAATGCAAACATGGATATATAAGCGAGCGTTGGGGTGCTGTGCAAAGAAAAAGGCAATCCTGTGTGGTATTAAACCAAACACCTGATCGGTGCACTGCATTTTACTACCATGTGGCAGCCACTAGCGAGAGGAACATGATGATCATACTAGGAGAGCCCATCAATAAGCAAATATTGCCCCGACTGTGTTAGATACAACATGTTGCCATGGTGTCACAGTTTTATTCCATCTAACTCTGCCTTGACTTCACCCCTAAAGACACACTTTCAAGCAAACAAACCCAAGATGTGCCGCGTGCATCCTCCCGCCTGTTAGGAGAGAAACTCCCTCTGGGGCAGTGCTTCTCAAAGTGTGGTCCGCGGACCACTGGTGGTCCGTGAGCGCCCCCTAGTGGTCCGCGAGTATATTGGTAACATTTTACATTTGAAATAAATAAATACATTTAAGTTTTCAGCACTCTCGCGGGAATATCTCCGCAATGGAGCAAGGTTAAGTTTCAATTTCGATTGCATGATATAGCCCAGCGCAACACCTTCGTCGCACATGTTGCCACTTGTTTGTACCATTTTCAGGCGATTTGTAATCTGTTCTAGAAAAACGATGCGATTTTGGATATTTGTGGAGTTAGGTGGTCCGCGAGTGTTTTTGTATTGGTTAAGTGGTCCTTGGTATGAAAAAGTTTGAGAAACACTGCTCTGGGGGGAACACAGGGGTGTTAGCCTTTTGCAGACCATTGGCACAAAAGACTAATAGGGCCTCTTTAAACAGGGATGTATAAAAGACGATTTATAGTTCTTCACTTTAGTTTGTGTGGGTCTGAGGTTGAAAAGGGCGATTTGTTGTTGTATTTTGTCCTCTTCATTCATTCCTGATCACACCCGGAAAATGATGCGTGTGTGTGTGTGTGTCCCTAGTTTTCCTGTTTCATCCTTGGTGCTTTTGCATGGATCATAATTGTGTAGTGAACCGTGTGGCCATGGTGACAGTCATAATAAAGCTGCTGGCTGCAGATTTGTACTGAAGTTCTGTTGAGCCAGTTGCCATGGAGACCGTGGCATCAACAGCATAGTCAGTGAACGGATATTTAATGAGCTCTGACGCTCCTCTGTCTGACACACACAGTCCCTAACTAAACAACTGCCTCACTGCCGCGAGACACACGCTCACACACTGCTGCAGTGAAATACATTGTTTAGTTACAGAGACACACACACACACACACACACACACACACACACACACACACACACACACACACACACACACACACACACACACACACACACAGACACACACACACACACACACACACAGACACACACACACACACACACACAGACACAGACACACACACACACACCCATACCACACACACACACACACAGACACACACACACACAGACACACACTCATGCCTTAACTAAACCTTTCTCATAACTGCCACATACACACACACACACACACACACACACACACACACACACACACACACACACACACACACACACACACACACACACACACATACACACACAGTAACTAAACAACTGCCTCACTCCTGCGAGACACACGCTCACACACACTGCTGCAGTGAAATACATTGTTTAGTTACAGAGACACACACACACACACACAGACACACTCACACTCATACGCCTTAACTAAACTTTTCTCATAACTGCTACACACACACACACACATACACACACACACACACACACACACACACACACACACACACACACACACACACACACACACGCCTTAACTAAACTTTTCTCATAACTGCTACACACACACACACACACACACACACACACACACACACACACACACACACACTCACACACTCACACACACGCCCACACACAGTAACTAAACAACTGCCTCACTCCTGCGAGACACATGCTCTCACACACACTGCAACTAAACAATGTATTTCACTGCAGCAGAGACACACATACATACACACATACATACACACATACACACACATACACACACACACACATGCAGGCTTTAACCAACAGTTAGCTCTCATGACGTCACGCCTGCTGCTGCAGGATGTTGGCTCCGCTGCTCGGCTGTCGTCAGGCAGACGTCACGCTCAGCTGCAGAGCTCTGAGCGGGGGGGAACATGCTCTGTCTGCAGCTTGTCGGCACGACAACATCTTTGAACTGCTTTTACTTTCCTGCTGTAATGCTGGGATGTAATGCTCTGCTGCTGCCTGACTTATTGTTGTTATTGATTTCATTTCATATTTACTGTCTGTGGAAGGAAAGGATTGACATTAAAACTGATGTTTGGCAGAACTTGTGGACAGCACATCTAACATCCACAATGTAATAATAAAGTGTGTAGAATGTGGAGTAGAAGCCAAACACTCTAGCACTATATATTTTGGTTTTGCTATATCATATTTTTTAAATGTTATACATGGTATAAATTCTGCAAAAGCTGCTAGGATATGATATATTTATGAGCTACTCTGTCTATAATTTAAATGTTACTGTAGAAAATGTGAGAATAAGGCAAGTTTATTTATATAGCACTTTTCAACACAAGGCAATTCAAAGTGCTTTAAAACAATGAAAGACATTAAGAAAATGGCATTTAAAATCAGTCATTAAAAAGAAAAGATATTAAAATAAACATTAAAAGAAAAAATACATGAATAAAAGTTACAGTGCAGTTTAAGATATGAATAGTTCAATTAAAAGCAGCGACAAAAAGAAAAGTCTTCAGCCTGGATTTAAAAGTAGTCAGAGTTGCAGCGGACCTGCAGGTTTCTGGGAGTTTGTTCCAGATATTTGGAGCATAATAACTGAACGCTGCTTCTCCATGTTTAGTTCTGACTCTGGGGACAGAAAGCTGACCAGTCCCTGAAGACCTGAGAGATCTGGATGGTTCATAATTTAGCAGGAGGTCAGAAATGTATTTTGGGCCTAAACCATTCAGTGCTTTATAAACCAGCAGCAGTATTTTGAAATCTATTCTTTGACACACAGGAAGCCAGTGTAAAGACTTCAGAACAGGAGTGATGTGATCCACTTTCTTAGTGTTAGTGAGGACTCGAGCAGCGGCTTTCTTTAGTGAGACCTGTAAAGACACCATTACAGTAGTCGAGTCTACTGAAGATAAAAGCATGGACAAGTTTTTCCAAATCCTGCTGTGACATTGAAAATAAGGCGAAACTAAATATTTTTGATAGCTTGTAAAAGAGCTTTCACAAAGGAAGCGGGGTAAAGTGGATCCTCTGCCAGGAACAATGGAAGGAGACGGTGAAGGAAATCTACATAATGGGAAAACTGAGTCATCCTCTGAGATAACAAGAAGCACGGAGGGAAGAAAAGTGGGAGATTTAGACATTATTCAAGGACAATGAGAAGAGAGTAGGACATGGAACACTGCGCCATTGTGTCGAGTTGTGTTCTTATACAGCACAGCAGATATGTGTCTTTATCATCTCCACCAGAGAGCTTGTTTCAAAGTGTTGTGCTTGTTTCTTAATTTCTTTTTTAACAGATATTAATGACATTGTGCACGTTGGTGTGTTTTTGTTGTGGATAGAAACACCATGTGGATTGTATAAGCACTTCATTATCAATCAATGTATTGATCAAACAACTTATCATGGAAGTTCTGCTCTGTAAAAGTTTTGCTTTTGTAATAATATGATATTATTTGTATTGGTTGATAAATTCACATATTCTGCATATAAACTGTATTTGTCGATGCAGATAAACATGTGAAAACCTTTACAGCCTATAGATGGCACTAGAGTAATGTTCAACTTGAAATGGTACCAAGTCTAATTTTGATTTTTACAGATATTTAGATGTTACTTAGGATTTAAACATGGACACGTGTCACCATATCTGCCGTTAAGAGTCAAATTAAAGGGGTGTGTGTTCAGGTGTTGAATGAGGTGGTGGTGGACCGAGGCCCCTCCTCCTACCTCTCCAATGTGGACTTGTACCTGGACGGTCGCCTCATCACCTCGGTGCAGGGAGACGGTGAGAGCAGTCATGTGACCCCCAGATTCTGTCTCCCCGTAGATATGATGAATAAATAATGTGACAAATGAATAACACAATGTCCCCTCTGCGTCCTCCAGGTGTGATCGTGTCCACGCCCACCGGCAGCACAGCCTATGCAGCCGCAGCCGGAGCCTCCATGATCCACCCCAACGTCCCCGCCATCATGGTGACCCCCATCTGCCCCCACTCGCTCTCCTTCAGGCCCATCGTGGTGCCCGCGGGGGTCGAGCTCATGGTGAGAGGCAAACACTGAGATCCTTGCATGGTGTTTACAGAAAGGTGACAAACAAAAACCTTAACCAACAAAATGTCTTAGAAAGGTATTGGGTCAACATCATTTCCCCAAATGATCAGAGGTGGGAAGTAGTGGAGTACAAATACTTTGTTACTGTACTTAAGTAAATGTTTCTGTTTCTGGTATCAGTACTTTACTCCACTTATTTTTCTGACGACTTTTTACTTTTACCTCTCACATTTTTAACACAAATACCTGTACTTTCTACTTCTTACATTTTTTCCAAACAGGCTTGTTCCTTTAGTCTGAATGTGTGTTTGATGCGTAATCATTATTATTTAGAGTCATTGCGTGCCTATTGATTTGAACACGATCCGTGTATCCATAATTTCCTGGCCTTCTCTAAAGAAGAGGGACCAATGGAAACGTTGCCGTTGTTCAGCATGGAAACATTCATTAGCTAACAATGACATTATTGTTCTATTAATATAAAGGGAAGTCAGGTACTCTTTAAAGCAGCTGGTAGTTATGGGTACTTTTTACTTAAGTACATTTCGAAGTCCATACTTCTTTACTTTTACTTGAGTGAAGAAGTTTAGTCAGTACTTCTACTTTTACCAGAGTATTTTTAAACACGAGTATCTGTACTTCTACTTGAGTAAAGGACGTGTGTACTTTGACCAAATCTCTGCAAATTATATTTCTTATTTGAGTGTTTAGTTGTTCAGCTGGGTTGAGATCATTTTGAAACGATATAAAGATAATATACTTTTTTTGTATGGTATCTTTCATGCAAGAAATACAGCTGAGCACGAAGGGCTTTAAAGTACGGGAAAGTAGAGTTTAAAACACGGATAGATTACCAAGTTCATGGGAAATAAAATAAATAGAATACAGAAATATAAACAGAAAAAGGTTTCAATACATACATTGCATTGTATAATATGGACATTCAAATCCACTGAATAATAAATAATGACCTCAATACAATTTAAGGTAAATCAACAAAAATTAAACAGACAAATTACAAACAAATGTCAAATAATAATCTTAGTCTAAGACTTAAAAGGCCCAGGATCTAACTACTGTGGGGGAAACTTCTGAAGCACTTGGAGTCAGGACTCAAAGAGAGACACGATGGAGAGCTGGAGCTTTGATGGCAAACACTGACGTTTTATTCTGAGCTTCGGCCGGAGAATTCACAAGACATGTCACGGGCCACGGTTTGACCACACGGATGAGATGCCACAATCAATTCTGAAGAACCCTCCTGTAGCTCCAGGTTTTAACGTTCAGAGTGTAATAATCAACATTCTTCAATAGATAGACTAAACAGCTGAGGACACTGAATCACATTTGTTGTCGCTTATGGCTCGGGGTCATCTACACCCCGAGAAGGATGTGTTCCAGGTGTCCCACAACAAGAACTATCTCTGACAGAGAGTTGCCCGGTCATAAACTGGCAACATCAACAATATGCTAGGGCAGCCCCTCCTTGAGGGAGATAGCATGCTGCTCAAGGCTGGGCATCTGCGTCAGAGGGTGAAGGAGGACATGCAGGGAAAATGATTCCCCAACAATTAAGGCATTTTTATTTTAAATATTTCCGTGGACACTTTTTAGTGTCCAGCACCTTGTTATAGATTAAAAAGTGACCGTGTGTCCTCCTCTCCATCAGATCACCTTGTCTCCCGATGCGAGGAACACGGCCTGGGTGTCGTTTGACGGCAGGAAGCGCCAGGAGATCCAGCACGGAGACTGGTAACGCTCACTATCATTGGCCTGTTCCATCATACAGATTAACGTTACTCACTTTAACATTCATTTCCTTCTACCTTTTCTCCGAACAGCATCAAGATCACTACGTCATGTTACCCCGTGCCCTCGATCTGCTGCCACGACCTGGTGTACGACTGGTTCGAGAGCCTCGCTCAGTGTCTGCACTGGAACGTCCGCAAGAGGCAGGAGCGCCTGGCCGACGTCTCCGACTCCTCCGACACAGAAAACTGAAGGGTTGAGTTATTCTCTGTCACATGTTTAAGTCTGCGCTCTCCAACACCACACAGGACCTTTAAGTTAGAGCAAGTGTGTCTAAATACCAAATCAGTGTTGAACAGTCCTTTGAATAGCATGTGTGTATTCAGTATTTTATACATTTGAGAAAGCATCTCATGACGTTCCAGTACAAACACCATCTGTAATTGCATCTGCAGCTTACTGGAAGAAAGCATGTTACTTACATAGAAATGGGAAAGCAATACAATCACTAAAAAGGTTGCAATATATTTACATCATTATTTGATTATTCAGTGTTTTGGACATGGAGCATTTCATATTGAATGTAATGGTTAGTTTCGAAGATCCAGGCTTTACTGGCATACGCTTGGGGGATTATGGGTAAAAAACAGCGATAGATTGAGAAAAATGACTGCAAATGTAAATGTGTACATACAAGATTCAAGGATACGTGTATTTAAAGCCTTATTTATTTGATATTTATATAGATGGGTGCTTGAAAACACTAATCCTTCATTTCTATTACTGAGTCAGCCGAAGACTACAATCACATTTTACAATTCAAAGACGACTTCCTGTTCATTCTAACAGCAGCTTTTTACGTTTAAATAAATATGTTGCTCTCTCATCTTCTCTGCCCAAGTTCTACAGGTTAGATTGCATGTTGTAGAAGAATACGAACTAAAATGAGGTGAAGAAACTTCTGCCAGTCATGTTTTCATTTTCATGAAGCTGTTACTGAAGGGGAAATAAAGTTTAAACTCGTTTTGTTCTGTCGGCTCTTTGTGTACACCTGTACTAAAACTGCTCTAATTCTTATTATTAGACAACGTGAAAATAAAATGAAGTACTAAATGGTTCAAAATAAAACCAGTGGGCCGATTCCTTCATTGAGTTTGACCAGAAAATACATTTGTAGGTACTTTTTGTAGGACATACTATACTATGACATCTTATGACATTTTTGAACATGCTATACTATTACTTTTTTGAAATGCTGTACTATGTATTTTCTTTCCAAATACTTTACTATGACTATAACATTTATCAGGGCATACTATACTCTTTTTATATTTTCAATATTCTTTTTGTCTTTTCATGACGTTTCTAGGACATGCTAAGACTATCAGGACAATTTGATTAAATACTTTACTATGACCTTTTCTACTTTGCTATACTTTTATTCAACATACTGTGAATACAATGACTTTTTCTTTTACTTTCGTCAGTATGGTTGAAGCAGCAACTACAAAACACTGAAATGATCTCATCCTGTCTCTCAAATGCCTTGGACAAGGTTCAACACTGGCTGAACAACATTTGCTTACAGTTAAATGCAAAAAAAAACAGTATGCATGATGTTCAGTAAACGACCAATCAAAATCAAAGGATCCAATGTGTTTTTAAACGGAGCAGAAATAGAACTAGTCTCCCACTTCAAGTATCTTGGAGTCATAATGGACTCGAACTTGACTTTTAAGAAACATATTAAGAAAGTATCCAATACCGTTAAATTCAACTTGCAACATGTTAAACAAATTAGACCTTTCTTAACTGTCAATGCTGCAAAGTCATACCTCCACTGTATGATTCTATCACACATTGAATACTGTTTGACAAACTGGTCGTTTGCTTGTGCCACAAACCTGAAACCCATAGAACAGCTGTACAAGAGAGCTATCAAGGTGTCTGACAGAAAGCCACATTCATACCACCACTGTAGCATCCTTGAAAAACACAATTTCTTGAGTTTTGACAATTTTAAGTCAGAGTATGCACTTTTTTTAATAAATGTTTACATGGACTGCTCTTGCTCTTTTGCATATCATGTATTTTGTTTTTGCGATGTTTGTAAACTTCTTAAATGTTTTATGTGAGCGACTGGATGGAAATTAGCTCAAAGCTAAATCTGGCACTGTTACGCTTGATACATTTGAATGTTTTAAGTGTTCATTACTGTGCATTGTCCCTGCCAAATAAACAATTACATCAATAAATAAACATGTTCAAATGTTATGGTCATTAAAAAAACGTTTTGCTGGATTTTAGGCGCCACCAAGGATAAACCAACCCAACCAAAAAGACACGTTACCTATAAAAACATGACAATAGTTGTTTGCTTTCTATATTTTTATTGCAATAAGATACAGATATATTTCCAGACATCCAGTTTTATTAAAGTTTACTCCAATATTGCATGAGACAGTCTTCAGAATGAAATTGATCCAAATGAAGACAACTAGGTGATCAAAAGACAGACTTTTGACCACAGATAAAACATTGATGTTTTACAATTTCACTTTTTTATTTCCCCCAGAGATGTGCGATTAGAAGCAGCAGCATAGTGTAATAATACTACAATACACAACAGACCGATACTGTGCGACAGTCAAGAACTATTGGGAGAATTGGTATTCTTTCCTCTTTTGTGAAACGGCTAAGCCAATGTTTAGAGAACAGCAACTGGCAACTCAGGAAACAGATGCACTTTGCCCTTTGGGGAAGAAAACAAATATAATCAAAAAGAAAAGACATGGAGTCAGAAAGTTGAAGAGCTACACACCTCAGTGGGATTACAGGAGACTACTAACACAGTCTAAGTGAGTTCACTTGCAGGTCAAACAAACTACAGGAAGCCGTGTGGAATATATTAACTCATTGTTTTACGAGGAGAGATTTGGCCACTGGTTGTATAAGCTCGGGTTAATAACTGACCAATTGTTAGTGAGACAAATCCACGTGGAAACAATCAATGTTACGGTAGGAAATGTAAAAATATACAGAAAAACTTGTATGTAATAAATTCCCACTGTTTTCTAACCCCAGATGTTTCCTTTAAATAATGAGTTTGCGCTTTGTGATCGTAGAAAAAACAAAAAGCACATACAAATAAAAATGAACTAATACAAAATGAAAGGAAAAAGAGTTTTATACTTTATTATACTGTTATGTTTATATTTGATATATCCATAGAATCCATATATAAATGATACTATTTCTTATACTTCAATATAATCCTTGCTATGACTAAAAAGAGCCTCTAGGCAGAAAGTGATGAAGGATCTGATTGGACCGCGCTCTGTCCGGACATTAAATTGCAGTCTGGATTTTCACGACGGCCTCTGAGACAGAAACGGTTTACGTTGGGCGTCTAAACGGTTTCATTGAGACCAAAAATCTTTGTTTAGCTACACACTAACAACTTTGTGCTGTGCTTTTTATTTTATCAAAGACGTGAAAGGTTTAAGGAGTTTGACACGGCGGTTACAAAATCAACAAATCAACAAAAACGTACCCTCGCTCTCAACAATCCGCATGAGCCTGCATAACATCATTATTAGTCTTGTTTGGCACTAGAGTCGACTTTATATCTGGTTCGGTTTGCAATAAACAGTTTCATTAGAGAATTAAACATCTTCTAGCTTTAGCGGTACAACAAATGCTGACAATCTTTTGAAGAAGAAAGAAAGCTAAGCACGCCAGCTGTGTCCCAGCTCGCACTATGGTCAACATCTGTCTGGCATCACCTCCGCTAGCTGTACGAGTCTGCTCTAATAACACTCCATCCAGCCACAACATGGTCGACTTTAGGTTTCTTCGAGTAAACTTCAGGGTTTGGTCCATCTGGCTTGGTTGGGGTTTCAAAGCAGACATGCTGGTCAGTTTGATTGGAAGGGAAACTTCTCCCCCAAATCAAAGATGATATTTTTCCTCTTGCCGGTATAGCTTTTCATCAATCTAGCTTGTTTCTGTCTTTGGGAGTTGCTGTTGGAGACATCAGAAGGAGGATGGCTCCCTTCTCTCGGAAATATTATGGAACTACGTGGCACTCGACTCGAATTGAAACACTCAACGTCACTTTCCTATTCCGGAAATCATGACCCAGTGACTCAGGATAATTCTACCGAATCACTGCACAGAAAAAAGTGTGCATGTACTCAAGTTCTAGTGACAGACAGGGTGAGATGTAAACATCAATGGTGTCCTCCTCAGATGAGCTTAAACAATATAGATTGATAAATTGTACAACAGGTTAGAGGAAAATGTGTGTCTTTGATTTTGGGGTGTACTGTTCCTTTAAGCGCTGCCAACAGGAAGTGGAGCGTTCTCCTGTCACAAAAACAACGAGGGCTTTTTGGCTAACGTGATTGTACCAACAACATGGAGCTCAAAGACAACAGGGGGGGGGGCTCTGACACTGACTTTTAAAGAAAGGGGACATAAATAAAAACATTTGGAGAGGAAACAACACCAAAAGAAAGTGGACGTGAGAACAAAAAGGACAAACTTCCTCAGGCAAACAAGTTGGTGGCAGTTTTCGTTTTGACATAAATAACATGTGGGTGGGAGGACTCGGATCCTCTGTAAGGCTTCTTTTAGATGATCCCCCCCATTGTCGTAGCCATTATCTATTTTCCCCTACGTGTCCATCCTGGTGCTGTTTAGTGGAAGATCTCAACACGAAGAGATGGAGCGGCTCCTCGGCCTCGAGGAGGGAGGGAAGGAGGGGAGGGAGAGAGAGAGAAAGTGTGATGGGATTGTAAGAAGTTTATGTTTCAGCAGTCTGAGGACTCGTCTCATTCTCCGCCACTTCTTTCCTCTCTTCCTCCTCCTCTTTCCTCTCTTCCTCCTCCTCTTTCCTCTCTTCCTCCTCCTCTTTCCTCTCTTCCTCCCCCTCTTTCCTCTCTTCTTCCTCCTCATCTTTCTTCTCTTCTTCCTCCTCCTCCTCAGTGTGCTGCTCCAGCTCCTCCCTGGTGATCATCTCAAAGTCGTTTCCGTTGCTGTGCTGCGAGCCCTCGTCCTCCCGCCGGTCGCTGTCTGTGTCTGAGTGACGCTCCGCCCCCGTTCCCCCCCCCTCCGCCTCTTTACTCTCCTCCACCTCTTTGCTCTCCTCCTCTTCCTCCTCCTCCTCCTCGTCCTCCTCATCGCCGTCCTTCTTCTCGCTGTCAGACTTCTCGTCGCTGTCTGATTTCTTGTTGCCACCCTCCTCCTTGTCGTCCATCTTGTCCTTCTTGGCTCTCGGCCCTTTGTAATCGTGAGTGTAGAGCGGGCGGAACGAGTCGATGAAGCCCACGTCGGCCGTTAGGTTGGGGAGGAACCAGAAGTGGTGGCGCCCGCCCGTTACCACCCAGATGATGAGGAAGAGGATGCAGCGAGCTGAAGACAGACAGAGAGGGGTCAACTTTAAACTACAGCTGATTAAATACAGCAAAGTATACATCTCTTCTGTGTATGAAAAACAATAGAACCGCCTGTGAGTGAATGTTTGCTAGAACTTTTTTATTTTAATTTGCATTATTGTTAATATTACTAATTCCTTTTTTTATTTGTTGTTCTATCAAATGTTCTCCTTTTTTAAATTTATATTAAAGATGGGGTAGGTAATTTTGGAGAAACCAGCTCGAGTGCGCTAGAATTTGAAAATACACAGCCGGAAGAAATCTGCCACTTCCTTACAGAGCCCCTCCTCCAACACACACGAACGCGCACATGACCAATGAGGGCACGAGATAAGTTTGTGCACAGATGGAAGGCTGACAGGCAGGTAGGCCATCCAGTTATTTTATGTATTTTTTGTCAAAGCACTTAAGATATTCATTGCTATCGGCAGTAGCGTGGCATGGGGAAAAAATGAGGGGAAGCCAATAATACGTCCTTTCTTTTGGGTCGGGGGTGTGGTGGTCAATGTAATAACGTAACCAGATGAGTGATTACAGCACCCGGTATCATTTTACACACATTTGTATCATACAGATGCAGGACTTACACACGCCTGTTATCTAACCGACAGGTCCGCACGCACTCTCCAGCCCAAACTCTAATAAGCATTCATTCACAAACTAAATCAGGAGACCTTTAACGTTTTACGTTTGATTCGCTCCTTTTTTCCCGTTTGGGCATCGGCATGTCATCAGATTGTATTTGTTGTTGCTGCAGTAGCGGAAGTTTAGTACAATTATTTTTGATTAAATACTCCAAATCTCCACCCTCCATAATTGCACTTGCTTCAGTTGCTTGCTACTTTCTAACGGCGGTGAGAGTGGTGCAGTGGCGCTATCTATCTTCTATCGATTAGATTTATGATTCAAAAATTATAAAAGTAGGGTAGACATGTGGATATTATCCAACTGAACAAAACGTGCATTTATCGAACAGGTTCGTTTTCCACAGACCTTATTTCAAGCTATTTTCCTAAATCCTATGGAGACATTTCATTGCCTTTTTGTCGAGGGAAACCGAGCGCAGCTTACTTCCGGGTTTTAGGATCGTCACTGCAACACTAAGTTGATGCGATTTGATTGGATTGTGAGGCAAGGGAAGCCAGCCGCCTCTGGCTTCCCTTGGCATGGCCCTGACCAATCACAGGTTGGCAGGGGCATGACGTGAGCCTTGTCTGATTGGTCAATCCCTCCATTTTTTTCACCAAGGGAAGCCAGTTTCGTCTGGCCTCCTCTCGCAACAGAGAGTGCAATCTACTGTTTCACCATAACATCTAGAGGGGCGCTGTTTCACTATTTGTAAAATACTCAATGAGAATGGGGGAGAGACGGGCCGGCAGCATCACACAACAAAGAATTTCCGAAACTAAACGAAGTGTTTTTATTTATTTATTCAAAATTATACAATCCGAAAAAACAGGGAAGCCTGGCTTCCCTTGGCCTCCAGGAGAAAACGCCACTGGCTATCGGGATGTTAAGAGCATTCCATGAAATATAACAAAGTGTATCTCGAGCCGGTTTCTCAAACTTACCTACCCCACCTTTAATTATATATTTTTTCATTTTTCAAAATTCATACATTTAGGTATTACATTACTTTTGAATCACCTATTTATCCATGAAAATAGGAAATTGTACACAGATAATCAATTGATGTAACATTTGTTTAATCAATTATTCAGCTAGCCAACAGTCATTTATTTATTCATTTTAAATGTTGACAGTTTTAGCTTCATCACTTGGAAATAATAGTTTTTGCAGATTAAAGCTCACATCTGCTCTTCTCCTAGTAAAGGTTAATGTATATATATATATTTGTTGTATTTAAGTTGATGCATGAGACCAGTATGTTTAAAATGAACTTTCTGTACTCACCGACAGCGAGAAGCAGAATACTGGCCACGAAGCAGCCTGCGGCTACACTCAGATAATAAACTCCAACTCGCATCTCTGCCGGCCACAGAGGGAACAGCGTGGCTGCGATCACTGCAATGACTGAGAAAAAACACACACGGTGAGTGAAGAAAGTAAAATAAGCTAAAACAAATTCTTGTTCAAAAGAAATCCATTTATGGGTTTCAACCTCCGACTCACCGAGTATCAGTCCCATGGCGAACGTCTTGAAATGAACAGGATCGTAAATCCAGACAAACACCTGAAGAGAAGAGTTTCAGATCACCATTCATTAGGTTGTGTTAAAATCCGGCATCATATGCAAAGATCTTTTATTGATCTTTAAATGTCTACAAATATGTTCACATGACTGTTGCATATCAGCGAGCCCAAATTATTATATATATGGAAACTCGCCAGAAATTCTGATTGGGGTTTGTTTACGTCCACTCACCTCGTTTCCGTCTAGAAACAGCTGATCCTCATGAGGCTCCAGTTTGAATTTCTTCTTCACGTCTTTCTTCTTCTTGGGAGTTCCAGGACTGTCATCCTGTGAGAGTTTAAATAGAAACATTATAAACAATCTGCTAAGTTCACAATGAATGCAGAGTATTAGATGAATAGTTAGCTGGTCAGACCCATAATGCAACGTCACCGTTCATTCACAGAGGAAATGTTGGCTGCTGCAGGTGAACAGTTTTAGCACACCTGCTTTAGTTTTCCCTTTCTTAAGAAAATATATTTGATAAGTTAGAAATAGTTCATGATATGCTACTGTCTCAGATTTCTGCACAGAATTTAGAAGTGGCATACAAAATATGTAGGGGAAGGGTTAGGGGGGAAAGAGGTGGCCCTGGCACTTACACTAGGGCGTTATTATGCACCGGGCGGATGTTATTGACAAAAGTATGACGGCATTATCTTCTCTCCTTCTGTCAAGAATAGACCAGTGTTCCCTGGGAATAAGGAATAGGGATCATTAAAGCCCCTTCCCTTTAGAAAATGTTACCGCCTTAGATATAAGCAGGTGATTGATTTGTTAGAAGTCTTTCAAAGCAGGACTGTTTACCCACAGCCCCTTATTCCAAAGTCAACATCCACCTGTTTACTGTGAGGACCAGCAGAGTCTCTGATTGGTCAACCTGTTTTTAATGGATCCCACTGCCAAAGCAGCAATACAATACTAAATATTCATATGAATGTTTTACACATTAGATCCTCTAATGGTTATCTAACACTTTCTTGATAAGATGGATATATTATGGGTTTGTTTTTCAACATAGAGGTCAAGAGTGTTGAGTCACGTACGCTCTTCTCCTTCTTGGTTTCAGCAACTTCGGACTCTTTCTTCCTCTCTTTCTCTTTCTTCCCTTTTTTCTCCTCCTCTTTGCTGCTGTCGCCCTTGGTCTTCTCCTTCTCCTTCTCTTTTTCCTTCTCCTTCTCTTTTTCCTTCTCCTTCTCTTTTTCCTTCTCCTTCTCTTTTTCCTTCTCCTTCTCTTTCTTGATCTCCTTCTCTGGTTTTTTCTTCATCACTTTGAGAGCCCGGTGGAAGAACTGCTTCTTCAGGAGCCTACAGAGGAAGGAGAAACATTTCTGGTTACTATGCTCTTTATTTAAAAATGTTTTAGTGTAAAGGAATTTCCATCCATGTACACAAACTCAGAGCTCATGAAAATGATTTTAAACCGATATACCAGAAATATATTTAAGCAATAGCTCACGACAGGCCGTGGTATATGCTCATTATATCACAGCTAAGGTGAGCTATTGCTTTTATAAAACGGTTACCAAGTGTGGCAATATGAAAGAAAAACACACTCTAATTTAAATAGTTTTTATTAGTAAATAATGATGTTCAAAATAAAATAATCCCTCCGTTGCCTTCTGCACGAAACATAGTGCTATGCAACAACACTAACAGCTAGCGAACATATTAGACAGAGAGCGTTGATCCATTATTTGGCTATTTATTTACATTAATGTGTATGTTGCCGTTTATTGTGCACCCACTGAAAAACTGTCCAGCATCAGTAGAATGGCTTACGTGGTTACTTGTATAGGTTGAGGTTGTTCTAGGCTGTTGCTTGGCGTGGTCAGAATATTGCTCCCCGAGATTCTGCTTCCAGTAGCTCTGGAGACAGCTTTCGCACCTGTGGCCACTAACGGTCATCATTTCTCTGCTTTGTTTCAAGACCCGCATCAGAAAGCTTTTGAATGGTGGTACTTTTCCAGTTGGTCTACCTGCTCTTCACGTAGCTCTGCATGTCGTCGTTTAGGTGCATTTTTTTTTCTGGAGATAGGCACTGCTCAATCCTCCATAGTAAGACCCCTGCGGAGGTCGAAGATAACCTTAAATGTTTCCATCTTAAGCTTTGTTAGTTAGTTAGTTTCGTAACGGATGTAATGTAACAGCTGTAGCTTTTTCTCAGACGCGGAGGGATACTGACTTGTTGTGAAAAGTAACTACAATTCTACCCATGATATACGCTCATTATATCACGGCTAAGAACCAATCAGATTGCTTGATTTGACTTGTCCGTTTTATAAGATCATTTATATATTGCTTGAATGTTTTTTGTTAGTTCCAACACTTCATCCAATAAGACAATTAGCTGGTTTTCTTCATCTTCTATGACAGTAAAGTGAATCTCCATCAATTTGAAGACATCACTGTGTTTTTTCACCATTGTTTTCATGGCCGTCATAGACCAGTAAGTATTAAGGCCCGGACACACCAAGCTGACACCAAAGAACTGACACAGACGGACCCCCGACTGTTGTGTCGCCTCGCGTCTCTCGTCTTGGCCATGTGTCGCACTGGAACAGACTTCAGCCGACGGCCAAGAAGCACGTACGAACTGCACATAACTCTCCTTACCAGCAGGCGGCGGTAGTGTGTATTCGTCATTCAAAAGAGGCAACCGGAAGACAGACTGCATGATACACCGAGAGAAGAAGAACAGACTGCGTGATATAAACAAACAACAAATAGCGTGTGCGTTCCATTTTCACTCTACAGCGAGAAGCTCACGGGGCTTTCCCGAACCTGAGTCGAGAGCTGGAGTTAAATGAAATCTCAGATTTGCCTTCTTAATAGTTTGTTTGGGTCCCTCACTTCCGTTTAGCTTCTCATGCACTGATTCGCTAAGCTGAACAGCCAATCAGAGTGATTTCTTTTGCCGACAGCCCACCGATTCGGCATGTTGAATCGGTGAGTTTTCGGCCGAAAAGGTGTCGGCACGGCTGAAAAGACATGACGGTGCGGGACACACCAATCTGAGTAGGGCGTGTCGACGCCCATCGACGGCCAAAATCGGCTTGGTGTGTCCGGGCCTTAAGATAAAAAAAAGAATCCATAAATCAAATGATACTGAAATATCATGATTTGCAGTCCTACATCCTTATACTAGTATTACAACCCGGGTATATATCAATGACCTAGATACCTTATGACTAGGGTTGGGTTGTACCTACACTTCCTACAGCGTAACCTGAGACCAGGGCCGGCCCGTCGCACTGGCGTTATAGATGTTCGCCTAGGGCGCCAGATCTGCGGAGGCGCTGCGCTGACAGCTCTGGGAGAAAAAAAAAATGTTTTGACCGTTGGTGCTCATCCTAATTTTCGGCCTTGATATAACAACATTCATAATTAAGTAAATGTAACACCCTTTTCATCCCGGTTACACGTTTCATTTGCCCTGTACGATGGGCGCTGTTGGCTTATCTGGCACCCGCAGCTCACAGCCAAAGTGCGAGTGTGCGTGGGAGCGAGCGAGGGAGAAAGGGACCGGTACGCGCTGTTGTTATTAGCATCTGGTGCTAGCTGCTCTAACGGAAGAAGGAGATGTTTCTACAATGATGTGGAGGGAGAGTCCTCTCCAGTCAGACTGAGAGGCTGATAACTACAGCTCAGTGAGGTAAAGGACTCCGAGTGTTTAGATAGTTCACTCTTGTCAATTTTAACTGATTTGAATATTTACTCACCAGCAGCAGGTAGCAACAGAGGCTAATTGTATGTAACAGCCTGAACAAATACTAGAACAATATGCATCCAAAACATATTAACAACATTTAAAAAAGAACCGGTGTGATTTTTTGGTTTTTCAGAAAAACGGAAAACCAAAAAACCGACGTTATTCAGTTTTTAAACCAAAACGGGAAAACAGATAAATCAACGTTTTGGTTTTGTTTGTATGATTTACGGATAATCATGGGAAAACAAGGAGAAGGCGCATTATGAAGGAGGGGTGTGTGTGTGTGTGTGTGTGTGTCTGTGTGACACTGGCATTTGTTTTCAGAAGATATTATGATATTGACGTTCGTTCCGGTGCACGTCCGACAGCATTTAGCACTACATCGAGATTAAGATTAAACTAATTTATTTTGGGAACACCCGCATATAGGCTACCTATGGAGTTAGCCAGATGTGTGTAAATTACTGTTCATGGTCATTTGAAAACAAATGCCGGTGTCGGACAGACACAAACACACCAAACACACAGAGCTGAGCAGAGCACATACACACACACACATCATGCGCCTTGGTAACTGGACATCTCCTTCATAAAACTAATACAAGGGGGAGTAATCGGGCAGTTCGATGTGTGTAGAGGTGTGTGTGGTTAACACGTAGCAGCCTGCAGTCACTCTTAAGCTGTTCTGATGAAGGTAAACACAGCGAAGGCGGTGCGTAAAAAGGCACATCTTTACCCGCTGGTGCTGCACTTCTCAGAGGCGGAGTTACACGTCCCGCTGCCTCCTGTCCTGATGCTGCAGCCATTTCATGAAGTGAAGGAGGTTTTCCTTCTATAAAACAGCTGCGGGCAGCAGATACCGTGAGAGTCCCGGACATGAATTCATAGATCAAGTCAGACTGGTTTACTCTCCTGTTTTGCCAATCCGGTGCTTAAACAAATAGCTCTACACCCCTGGCTAGGGATGCCAGTGATTATTCGATTATTTGTTACAGTCTCCATAATCGAATATTATTTTTAAAAATCGATTTTATTTATATATTTTTTTATTATTATTTATGTATTTTTTTTTTTTCTGGCTTAGTTTCAACCAAAATATAGACTAATGCTAATAATAGTAATAGTATTAATAATTGTAAATGGCCATTGGTCAGACCACCAGTTTGTTTTACTGTAAACTTGGAGGAAGCCTGCGTGCAGACTGCTGCAGCAGCACGCTACACACCGCCCCCGCCCCCACCCCCCCTCTCCCTCACACGTGCGACTAAAGATGAACAAAGCGGCAGGTAAAAAGAGTTCCTCCTCGTGGAACTACTTCGAACTTACATGTCCAAAGGAAGTTAAATGCAAGCTCTGCGAAAAGACGTTGGTCTATCACAGCTCAACCTCAACAATGCGTTTTGAGTGCATCCATTTGAAGATGCGCGCACAATTTATTTATTGCAATGCTGCTATTATTAATAATACAGGCTACAGCCTGTATTAATAAAAGCATTGCAATAAATAAATTGCTATAATAATATTTATTGCAATGCTGCTATTATTAATACAAGCTGTAGCCTGTATTTAATAATGGCAGCATTGCAATAAATACATTGTGCACGCATAGCGCATCTCCAAATAAAGGCAATGGCAGGCACTTTAGAAAATAACAAAAAATAAACCAACATCATGTACTGTTAAACAGTACATCATCAGGGGGGGGGGGGGGGGTCGGTCGAATAATCGATTATTATTCGACAGGGCTGCCGAATAATCGATTTTGATCATGGTCAGTTTCTGGCAACCCTACCCCTGGCCGACATGTCCTTAAAATGAAGTCCGAGTTTGAAATATATCTCAAATAATGTATACACTGCCATTTCCCCACTGTCTCCTGTGCGCTCCTCTTCCTACTTGGCGCACCGGTAACTTTCTCGTGCGCACGAGAGGCTGAGACCAGGCTGAGCCGCCGAATCCCTCGGAACATCATAAAAGCCATGGCATTTTTAACAGTTTTCTAGTGAAAGTTTAACCAGGCTACTGGGTGAAATAATATGACTGGTATAGGTGCAAAAATTAAACACTTTTAGAAAAAAATATTATGATAAAATATTTGTATATATTTATAATTCTGCAAATATTACGATAAACTCACAGCTATTTCGCGGCCCGGCAGTAACACCTCCGCGGCCCGGTACCGGTCCACGGACCGGGGGTTGGGAACCCCTGGACTAATACATGAAACCTATTCAGGATTGTATTGATACAACTGGGAAACGTGACTGAAAGATATATTGTGCTGTATTATTGTTTGAAACAAAAAAAATAAAGTCCTAAAAAAAAGAAAATCCTACATGACTAAAAGTTATTCTCCTACGATATCAGGTGTGCAGCACAGTGTTGGAGCGCACCTGTTGCAGTACTCCACCACAGACTCCCTGGTGGTGAACAGCGCCTCCTCGCCCTTCTTAGCCTTCGCCCACTTGGAGTCCAGCAGGCAGTCCACGGCCTTCGAGGCTACGAGTCAGGACACAAAGACGGACTTTAACAAACACAGAGTGGTGCAGGGACTCAATATTCAACCTGTTATCTGGACAATTATTTTAATAATCTAAAAACAAAGAAAGACACAGATGGGAACTTTTTGTTTAGTTAAGTTTAGAGAGCAGTGTAAGTGATTCAATCAATAAAGTAGCAGCTGAGGGAGTAAACAATGAGCTGAATGTCACAATAAAGCGCTGTTAAGACGAGGGAAACTGCTGATTCAGCATGTTCCTCACCTCGAACACATCTTATCATTTTTTATATTCTTGTAAAAATAGATCGCCACTTTAAGATTGGCTGCCCATCCCTTAATCTGACAGATCAAACTTGAATAATGGCTGTGGAGCTCTATTCCCAGTAGGTGAGAGCCTGTAAGGTCATGTGATGGTTACAGCGCCTCAGCAGTCATAACCTTTTCCTCGAGCAACAACGGAGCAAACAGCATTTCCCAAGACTGACAGACATATGTTGGAATATATCTGTCAGTCTTGGGAAATGCTGTTTGCTCCAACATGCCACAGAACAAGCAAATACTGTGTGGGAGGATCAGGTCTATGATGCAGCGGAAAATATTTCATCAGTCGGACCACTCTTCAGTAAAGAAGCACAGGGTTTTCCCTAAAATACTAATGTGGAAAACCCAGCAGGCTTTCGGTTTTTGTAATAAAATCGAATGCAGTCGCACTTCTGTTCAGTAAATCCATCAAATGTCAACAGAGGGCAGGAGGTAGGAGTTGTTTTGCCAGCTGCCTCTCATCCAATGACTGAGCACTTACCGATGAAGTAGTCGACTCGATGGCCCATCATGTTGGTGGACTTGGTGGGACAGTTAAATCGGAGGTACTTGGCCACCGCCTTCTCATCCTTGGTGGGCTCGCTCACCTCCTACAAAACACGACAAACACACGGTGAATAACACAGACGGCGGGGAAGTGATTTCAATCAATTGCAGTAAATTCTACAATGTCATTACGTTTTTGAAAACACAAAAGTAAAACAAGTACATTGACTTGACGCTTTTGGCTTATCAAGTGATTCAATAACGGACACAGTTAAGTAACTCATTTATGCAACAATTGCGTAAGGAAAATATGACCATAATAATGCTGCTTGTTGATTTAAAAGACGGCCTGCAACAGCCTCATGCAACCAGATAGGTCTTTAACTTGATTATTATAACTTTTGCAAAAAAGTCCAAAGTTGTCTTATGTGGTTGTATTGAGAAGTGACCACACGTTGTTTAAATGATGTTGCAATCTAAGTGTCTCAACAGAAGCCTGCACAGTGCGGACCTCTAGAGATTCACATTGTGTCCTGTTTCATAGTGTAGATGTTTATCAGTAGCAATAACATGGAGTGGCCAAAAGTCATCCACACTCCTGAACACATCTGCAGTGTGTGCCGGCCTCTGAAGCACAGGCCAACACAGAGGGAGGAGAGCATCAGCACAATGAGAGTCAGTGCTGCTTTCTCCAGTCCAGCTGGCTCTGAGCAGCAACACGAGGAAGACGAGGCCATAAAACAAGCCTTTGTTTAAAGAAGCCGGTATCAGTCGCTAAGCTCAGTTACATGAGACCCCTACACAGAAAGCCCCCTGTCCCCGTCTACACGATCTACCTGGCATAAGCACATGCGGATAAGCTGCTCTGCTCCAACAGCAATAGTATGTGAGGACAGATTACTACTGTTCCTCACCAAACACAGGTCCTTTCAAACATATACTGTAAGTAACAGTTTGGGCTTAACCGTGAATATTGCAAGACACAATGGGAAATGCCGAAATGTCAAAAAAGGAGAAAACGGTTGTGTAATTTGGCATGGTCATCTTAGAGCAGGGCCTATGTGTGTCATGCAACTAGACTAGAACATGACCTGCTCCTAGTTAGCGCGTGTATTACTAACTCCAGCCACAAACTAATGCAACAGCTCTGTATTTAAACATTTCTACATAAAAGTTACGGAGTTGCAATTGTTTCAGAGAGGTGTTTGTGGCGCTGTTGAACTGTTTTGATTCATACTGAAAAGAGGTTCTACCCTTTTGGGTTTAAATTGAGCATTAAAAAGCTCAAACAAAACCTTATAACCTTCTTGGATTGTTGTAAGACTTAGTTAGGGCAGGCCTGTTCTTAATTAGAGAGCACTAATTGTCTAGGTGTGCATTGAAACAATAATTTTGGCTTCATGTCAAACCTTGAATACTGTGATGTGGCATTTTAATAACACAAGGACACAAGCTAGTTTGAGTTTCAGGTATGCTCATAAATGAGATAACAGCATGTGTGTGTTATAACTGAACCTCGAACAGACAGGAGAACTATACAGCTGCCATTAGGTAGAACTCAGTCTAACGCCCTAATCGCACCAGGAGCGTCTGCGCTGCGGCTGCGCTGCGACCTCCTCCTGCGTCCTAACCCACCAGGCGCGTTTCAAAACGTTGCGGAAGCGGAGCGTCTTGTGTGCAGCCTCGCAGTTGTTGGATGAACATTCCACTTCCTGCCTGCGCCGCGCCGCGCCAAAAATAGGATTCATCCTATATTTTAGAAATTTCTTGCGGCGAGGAGCTTCTGGGACGCTTCGAACCGCGGCGCAGCGCAGCGTGTCTGGTGGAATAGCACCCATTGACTAGAGTGGCCGCGATCGCTAAAAACGCCGCAGCGCAGACGCTCCTGGTGGGATTAGGGGGTAACAACGACCCTGCAGTCATACCGTCATTCAGGTAGACTGCTCATTTTGTTTGTGGTTCAGCTGAACACAAACTTAATGAAGGTAGGATTTAAAGCAGGCCTGCTGAATTGCAGAGTATTAGTTTCAGCGAGATGCACTTAACAGGCAAGTAACATTCTCGATTAAAAATAAACGTCAGACCCTAAATGCTAAAAACACAATTGAATGGTATTTTAGAGATCAAGTAAGGCACAGCATATATAATTGATGTCTAATACAGAGTGATGAAGTTAGTAATGAACAGGCCTTTTTAATAGTATGTGTATGTGTATAGTATGTGTATTCAGCTGAGCTTAAACATAATATTACAATGTCAGCTTAATGCCACGCAATACATTCCATATTTTACTAAGCATAGCATATGGAGAGAATCATCTTAGGTTATCTCACTGTTTTCCACAATGACTGGGTCCCAATACCATATTGCAGTACATAGTAATACAGTATGTACATTACAACAATAATCTCTATAGTATGTTCTGCAACTGTTAAACAATCCACATGCAGAAATGTTTACAATGAATACTGACATGTTTTATCACACTGACATGACTTTTAGAAACTTCAACACAGCTGAATGAAAACTACAAATCACACTTTATCAAAATGACTCCATACAAGTCTTAGCATATCTGTGTCTAAGCATATGCTTCAATGGGCACCTGGAATGGGAGTTACAATTTGGATGTCATGTTTTTGGAGAACTATATGGGATCCTAAAATGAAACTACAAACACCTTGTTTAAAACAATGTATTGTTGTGAAGGGAATGAACACGTAGCCACTCTGAATAAGCTGTTGCTTTAAAGTGAAGAAATGCTCCAGTCTGTGAGGCCTACCACTTCTCTGCTACTTGCACATTATGTTACAGAACAACAGTATGATGTACTGTGTTGCCTCATTATTTTAAATTCCCGCAGATTGCCCCAAGTTATGTAAACACGTTTAGTTAGAGCTGACGCAGCTAAGCCTGAAAACGTTAAGTTTACTCAGAATAACGATGGTGCACTGTGGAGACACTTTAACAAAAAGTACGTCAACACCATTATCGTGTTTATGTTAGCGTGTGAGTGCTACAGGCGATACAGATCATAAATAGCTCAACAATAAAAACACTAACATTTGTTTTCGCTAGCCAGCTAATGCTAGCTACCGTTAGCCGTCATCTGGCTTCATCCGCAAACGGTTAACGGCTCCCCACAAAGATGCTACCGGTAACAAACGGCCCTCAGACGCTCCTAAACAAGGACACGGCTTTAATTCGGTGTCCCTTAACTTCTAGAGGCGTAATTTATATGAGTTCAGTGATGTTACCTGGATCCGTTTCTTGTGCTTCCTGCGCTCCGCCATGATCCTCCAACTCAGCTCCTCCGACGTGCGCGAACCTGCGCACGCGCATAGATAGTGTATTATCGCGAGATCTTGCGATTTAGGGTTGAAGCCTTGAAGCCTACAGAATTTAGCCCATGCTGGGCATAGATGTCACCACCTGCACAGGCCCAGTCTGTCACTTTATTTGACAAAATGTGATTACTTATAAATGGTCTATGCATTGGTTTTTCATGGGGGGACATATTTTGTCTTCTGCTATGCTGATGTTAAACCTGGAGAAATTGCCCCCCCACCACTTTTCTAACAAAGTGACGCCCATGTATGTATGAATATGTGTGACCCATATTCACACAATTCAGAGGGAAATAGTGTACGTTCCACTGCATTTATTTGTTTCCTTAGTTACTTTGAAGATTTAAATAAATAATAGGCAATCGTAATCTGTTACTATTGTTTTTTGTTCTTTGTGTTACTATGTGTGTTTTTTTTATTTGAAATGCAGATTTATGAAATTGAATCCTCACTTATTTATTCCTTACCATGACAGATAGGTACTGCAGGTTCTCAGTACAAAAACCCTTTATTTAAAATACAACAAACGCAAGAAAGGTATCAAACATTCAAACATCTCACTTTGATCTGTAACCATGTAAAACCATTCCCATATTATGTCTATGGTCCTTATAACGGCCTACTGGATGAGTGACACTTATAGCAGCTTAAAAAAATAGGTTTGTTTAAAGCTACAATCAGACTTTTAGAGGCCTGTTGTGAACAATGAAAAATATCTTCTTAACTCACACATCAGTTTCACTTCACTTTTAAAAATATATTCACTTTTATATATAAAAAACAATTATTAAGCTGATACCTGGACCTAATGGGAACTGTGCATTAAATGGCAATGTTTAGCAAGTAGTAAAATAAGCATAATCAATCCAGTAAATGTAAACAAATCCATCACTGAGGCAGCTTGATGAGAGCCTTGCAGACTGGTGAAGTGTTTTCATCTGTCCACATGTTCAGTCCTGATCAGGCTGTCTCGCTGCTGGCAGACGGAGGGGAATTGTTTTCTGTCTCATGAAGGTGATCTGTGGATTTGAGGACTTCGGGGTCTCTTGGACTCGCCAACATCTCGTCACTGTTGCAGTTGACAGGAGAGCCGATCTCTGAGGAGCGGTCCGCAGCCTTCTCTGGAGTGGCCTGCAGGGCGGAGGAGGAGAGCGGCAGGTTCATCATGTACAGCATGTTGCCCACACGCCTGGACACCTGAGGGGGAATGAGGAGAGTTTAAATATATTAGATTGAATAGTGTTTGCAGATGTGTCTCCAAAGACATGAAGCAGAGGACAGGAAGTGCTGCAGATGTTGGTCAACATCTGTATGACATCTGTGCATGTGTACAAAACGTCCCGGTTGCTGGCTGCGTTTCATTTTTTGGAAGCCCAGGGAACTCGATATTTAAAATAGAATTGTCATTCTTATTTTAAAAGTCAGAGAAAATTGAATTTTCTTTTTGACATTAAAGGAAGCAGGTACTGTTGTTAATATTGCATTTGAATTTTCGAATTTGTATTAGCATTTAAAAATAGTCCACTGTACAGCAGGGGACAATTTTGAAAATGAAATACAGCTTTTCTATTTTTTTTCATTCATTTATTTCATTTTTAGCAACCCCTGTATTTTACTTTGACAGTCAACATATAGCTCTGATAGTTAAAGAATAATCAGTAAACCTAGTTCTACTATTACAACATTTTCAACCAAAACAAATTTGACAAATGATCATATATTGTATAGATATTGAATCCATTCAAAGTTGTTAGAGTTGTCCTGACATGTATTCTCAGATAGCACACATCTCACATTTTGTTTATGTGTTTAATCCCAGTGTGTTTCTCCTACCTGTGAGCGGATCTTTAGTGCTGGTCCCAGTTTGAGCCCCAGTGTGTCCAGCAGATGCTCCTCTGACAGAAGGGGCAGCGTCTCCCCGTCAATCATGTGGTCCTTAAACGTCTGCAGAGAGATGCCACACAACATTAGCACAACAATGACTGAACAGAAAGAATAAAGAGAGTTTCAGATAACAGAAACCAACCTGAGCATATTCTGAACATGTGGGTATGCTGTTGATAAAGTTGTAAACATCATTCACGTTCCACTTCCTTATATCTTCGGACCCTTCATCCCCATTAAGAAAGAGATTTGGTCGACCTGGAAAAAAAGACATACATCTTAGTTGGTGTTACATCAGTGGTGGACTGTAACTTTGTGACCTAACAATTTTGAGTTACTTTACTTTCCATATGTTTATACTTCCAATCCTATAATTTAGAGGCGGATATTTCACTTTTTACTGCACTACATTTATTTGACATCTTTAGTAACTAGTTAGTTTGCAGGGTCAGATAAATAATAAAAAACATATTAATGATCAAACACATTCCTTTTTAGTATTATAGGTGAAGCCTGTATGAGGACTTTTCCTTATGTTTTTAAATATATTTTGATGATAACACTTCCTTTAGTAAGAATTTCAACGCAGGAATTTGCATGTGTATTGCTACTTTTATTTAAGTAAAACATGAGCGCCTTTTCCATTACTGTATAAAATACTGGGTAAAGGATTTTGCTAAACTAATATATTGTAATCTAGAAACTAACCAGTTGGAAGGAAACCATTTCCAGGGACTGGGAACATGTAAGGCATGCCAGTGAGCGCTCCACCAGCGGAGGGATCCATGAACTTCTCCTGGAAAGCCGAACACTGGCTGGACATGTCTTTATCGTTTCCCCCGCTGTTGGCCACATTCGACCCGTCCTGACTGTTCACACAGGATTTACGCAGCCCTGTCTCCCCATCTTTGTAGTTCTTCCTGCTTCCTGCTGTGAGTTCAGAGTCTATTTTTGCTTGATGGTGCGCCTTGCTGGTGGCACACTCCTCTCCCATATCCCCCTTTGCCTCCACCTCTTTCTCCTCCCCTGACGTGGCCCCCGGGCTCTGCTCTAATCTCTTATCTTCAGTGTGGCCCTTCAGGTTGGATACGTGGCTGTCTGCGCTCTTGTGAGATGTTGGCCTCCTGCCGACCCTGCGTCCTCGCTCCCTGTGCAGCGTGCCGATGTGCGGGTAAGGGCTGGCCGACATGAGGATGCTGTTGGAGTGCAGCTCATCCAGGCTGGGGCGGTGCACGAAGACATCGTGGCCGTCTGGCATCCGCTGACGACCTCTGAACGCCATGGGGTTTGCAGAGTAGGCCATGGGGTTTTCAATTCCCAATAGTCCCTTCTGGTGGGCGTTCTCCAGCTCCTTCTGGTGCAGGATGGCATTCATCTCCATTCTGAGGGGCACACACACATATTAGACGTGCAGTTCGTGCATGATGGAGACAGATTATCCCACTTTGTTATTAAAGCCATACTTCATCCTAGACATGATCATTTCTATATCAATTCTATACCACATTACATTTAATTTGTGAAGTAAACTATGAATTGAAGTAAATTGGTGCCACATTAAACAACAGCACAACTATATCAACACACCAGTTTACAAAATCTCACTGAATTTATGTAATATAATCCAAGTCTTACTTATTCAGTCATATTCTCCATTCTTCCCACATGCATTTTTGCAAGGACTTTAATACTTAAAACACTTCAAAATAAACAGAATGTGCACCAACGAGTCGTTTGGAAGTAAAAAGAGACCTAGATTATGATAGAGGAGTTGTGTGAGAGATTTTTATAGATAGTTTTGCAGTTGTCAAACACGAACCCCATTTATTTTAATTCAACAAATCCTTTCTCTGTTTTTCGATTGGTGAACATGTTTTGTTCAAGAATTAACAGTAAAGCAGGTGAGTCGTTGATATAGAAATGGTCATTTTGTAAGTTAAGTATCTCTTTTAATATAATGTCCAAAGCTATTGTTTCAGTTTCATTCTGCAACATGTGAAGTGGACCTGTGTGTAGGTGGTATAGGTCTGTGGGATGTTAATTACTTTCTGCACGCAATACCTGGCTATATTCTGCTTGTGGATGAACTCCTGTCGCCGAGCAACTGTTTCCATGGGTTCGGAGGGCATAAAACCATATCCAGCTGAAAAACAAAAAAGACACACAGGCTGTTAAAACTCACTCATATTCCTCCTAAAGGAAAGGCAGAGAAAGGCTGGGAATTATCTCAGGTGCATCTGACCATGCTCTCTTCGTCTTATGTACATTGCCTTGTCTTTTTATGCTGCTGCAACGCAAACATTTCCCAATTTGGGATCAATAACATATTAATCTATCCATCTATCTATCTCACCTGCTCCAGGGAAACCTCTTCCTGGCATGACATTGGCATGGGGGGGCATAGAGGGACCCATGTGAGGTCCCATGTGCATCTGTCGGGCCTCAGAGGCTACCATCTCAGAGGGGGGAACCATCTCCCTAATGACAGGAAAGCATGAAAAATCAGTCATCTACAGCGGTTGAAAGTACATTTACTCAAGTCATTTTCTTAGTTACCATTTTGAAGTACTTGTACTTTAATTGAGTATTTCCATTTATATGCTACTTTATACTTCTCCACTACATTAAAAAGGGAAATATTCTTTTTTTCCTACAGTACATTTATTTTTAAATCTTTAGTTACTTTTCAGATTAGGTAAAATTATCGAATATATTTTAAAAAAAGTTAAGAAAAGATAGTCGAACTTTGTCTACAATAGTAATATACTGCCTAATGCAACTACAAAAATACTGTCATATATACTATAGACAATACTTATATTCCCATATGGAGGCCATTTTTTGCACTATGAGAACTTTGACTTTTAATACTTTTAGTTAATGTTGCTAATAATACTTCTGTACTCTTACTTAAATAATAAATGGAATGGCACTATTACTTGTAAAGGAGTATTTTGACAATAATGTACTGGTATACTTTCACTCAAGTACAGGATCTTAATACCTCCACACCTGGTCATTTATACACGACTTCAAGGGGCAGATGATCGGCTTTAATAACTGCTAATGTGGTCTCAATTAAAGCTTTGTCATTGTACAAAGTGTACCTTGTTTCTCTCGAGT